AGGTACCATACAAATCTACGCCAAAAATGAATGTTCAGGTTCTGCTTCATAATCAAAAAATAAAAATTAATTAAAACCTTTTACTTATATACCATATTCTTTCTCTTTCACAATCAGTTAGTTATTTTTATACTGAAAATTTGATTGCCGGGTCAGGTAGTATATGTATTATATATAATACATACATATATATTACTATATAATATAATACGTTTATCAATTTAGTATTACGCAAGGATTATCAGAAAAAGTAGTTCAATATCAAACTCCGTAATACCTATATTTCCTATGTCGTTATCTGCGATACGAATTTTATCAGTCTTTCCCGAAAAAGATAACTTTAATCAATCTTAATTCTCTAACAGCTTTATATACGTCTGACATTGTAAAAAATTCAAAATATCTTTTATAACAAATCTCATTTTTTCCTTGCATTAATTATTATTTTTAAAATTTGATATTCAATTTAATAATAATAATTATTAACCATTTAATTTTAATAAACAGTACATAATTATTTTATTTTTATTGAATTCACAAATGATCAAAAAATAGTTATCTTTTTATGTAATGGGCGTGGCGCACTAAAAGTGGTGCCTTAATTGAACCATTTTAATTTGCTGTATCAATGTGTTAAATAATCATGTTCAACAGAAAGTCCAATTTTTTAAATTATTACTATAGAAACTAGTGTAAGAATTATCACTATTTAGTTGTTTTATAAGATGCATTGGTAATTTTAAGTAAGATTCAATACTTCTTTATATATTACTTCTATAAAAGCTTACACGTGGATGGGGAAAAAGAACAAACTGGCCTTTTACCCTGGCAAAGAAGTCAACAGTAAAAAATAGTAAATAAAACAGTAAATTAAGTTAATAAAAGAAATTTTACAAGAGATAAGGTAAATAAATACCTATACTAACTGTGCTGATGATTATTTCTGACTAAATACTTGATCAAGGTTGTATACAGTGTTATCTCTGTCAAAAATGTATCCATGGAATTTATATTTTGCATTGGTTGAACAATTTAGCTATTATTTCGTGAAATCCCTTTAAAATTAAAAATGAGTCATTGGATCTGTTTGCCCAATTCCTGTCCCTTTTTACCCAACCTATAAGACTAGATGGCATATTTTTAAAAACAGCAAAAAAACATATTTCAACAATGATGAATTAGCTGGGAGTTTCACTGAACACAATAAGACAGTTGGTTTGGTTTTTACACTATAATTGCTCAAAGTCAAATTCGACCTTTGTGCCCCGCCCTCCTCTATAAAACTTACATTGTTCTGAATGTGATATAATTAAAAATGACAGGTAAATAAATTTAGGTAAAAAAGTAAAAGACTTCGAAATTTAAGATCTTAAGACTTAATAATAACAAATTTTGAATTGTGAAGAAATACCTAACAAAAGCAAAATGTTCTTAAGTAAGTAAAAAGCAAACTTTTAGATATAATCTTATTTTGATTATTTAATAATAATATAAATAATATTTTATTAATTAACTAATATATCACTTTTTTGAAAGAAGAAGTTCATCTAATCGAAAGGTATTTATGTCAGGTGTCGTGCGAAAGTCTTGAGTTCAATTTTTGAATTTGTCTTTTATATATATATATATATATATATATATATATTATATATATATACATATATATCAAAGCAGACGAAAGCAAATAACATTAATCCATACGAAAATCATTTAAAAACCATTAAACTTAGATTTAAAATAGGCACACCGGATAGTCATCATTAGAACGACCCTATTATCCTAATTGTAAGTGTCCCATAAATATATTAATTTACTTAAACCTACTAAAAATACTAACTTTACTGTTTAGTATACTAACACCATATAAAAATCATTATCTTAGTACGAATTTTCTGTTCTGTTAGGAATTTTACTTTTAGTTCAAATCAAAAGTTAAGTTTCTGAACTCTATTCTATGAATTTAGAATACAAATAGACTACAAAAAGAGCAAAAAACTATAACAATACATAGTTTTTCTAAAAATTAAAAGATCGCTTCTTTTAATAGAATTATTTGTAAAAAAAATCTATTCTATGAGTTTAGAACATAGAAAGTTGAAAAACAATAACAATAGATGTCCTAAAAATTATAAAATTACTTCTACTAATAATAAATATATTAGTAATAATATTTATTTGCAATTTTCCAATATAAAGCAATTTTCCAATATGAAGCAAACGCTCGATCGTTATTTTCAATTTTACCTATTAATAATTGAATAATAATCTCATTATGCTAAACGACTTATATATGATTTAAATGGTTTAAAGCACACACGTTTTCTAGGTAATCATATTAGCAGGTACTGATTTTATTTGTGCTTTTCCATTTATTAAATTTCCATGGTGGACGAGGGCTCAGCCGGGAAGTTTTTGCTTACTAGTTTAAATGATTAAATATTATCAAAGATTACGTATTTAGTGTCAGTATTTTCTTATAGCAGATATGCTTGATATTTTACAAAATGATTATTAAGTTTCTTGAGTAATTACAGATTTCAGTATTTGAGAAAAATCAATTGGAAACCGCAATATTTAAATTTAAGTGAAAGCAAAAACTATTTTCCAAATAAACAGTTAAAATTTTATCCAAATATCTAAATCTGAATTCCGATTGATTAACTCAATTATTACACCTATCAGGAAGTTTTAGCAAAGAACTTAAAGCAAAATGCCACTGTCAACTTGTTGATAGTTAATTTATAGTTTATCCTGTGGAATTATTTCATAGTGTCAAAGTGTTGACTTGCGTATCTATTTTATATATCTGACGATATATAAAACGCGACGCATGATTTTTTCCAATTTACTTCTCGTTGGCATTTACAACAATCGACGACCTAAGCTGACCCCGTTTGATAAGAGGCAAAACACGCCACTTTGATGATCAGGATTTATTTCATACGTTTTTGTGCGTCTGATATGAACTTTTCCACAAAAATATTATTCGATGCATATTTGGTCAGAAATTGAATCAATTTAAGGTAACGCAGACAGAAAACAAATTCGTCAGTTTTAGCAAAAAACATCGGTTGCGTCAAATATAAATTACTTGTTGGCACTAAATTGTATTAGCTTATTCATATCCTAATTAACTTCCCGTAAATTTTGGCATACCTCAGAAAAATTGTATGTGCGTGTGTCTATGTGTGGAGACAATTTTTCGTCGACGATTTCGGGCGTATGGATGAACTGATTTAAAAAATTCCTATTGATAGAAAGATTAGTTTTTGGCAACGGCAGGTCCAGCCGTTACGGAGATACGAAGCAACGAGTGCAGAAAATAGAAAATAGAAATAAAGTTTTTGAGAGAACGAGGTATCCGGTTTGAATTATCAAAAAAATATTTTGCTTGCGTTGGCAAAACAATTGTTTTCGGAAATTCCAATTCCAAAAAAAAAATTGTATATCGAAAATAATTCCGATTTTAATTTTAACTCTGGCTTAAACTCTGAAGCTCACTTATATACTTCAAATAATTTTAACTTTGTAATTCTGTTTATATAATTTCTATAAGAAAATTTTACAGTATTTATAATAATCAATTTGAAAACATTTAATATTCCTCGATTTCATTACGGTCCGGAAAGTTCCAGCAATTTGCCTCAAGACACGATGCCATACAACACTAGTTTAGAAGTTAAAGAATTGTGAAAAACAAGTAGAACGGCAAGTAATGGTATTCACTTGTAAATTTGTATCAATACATATTTATTCGATTTGATGCCGAAAGTAAATTTCTGATGAATAAACAAATATATATGGCTACCTAATTTATAAATGTGTTATGCAATATCAGCGATTTCACATTTCGCTACCATTGCACATATTTTTGGAAGTGTTATCACAATTTTCAAAATATGTGGCGGATACAGCCATTGATCATTGAACTAATTAATTACACTATAAATGATAAATGTCATAATGCTCTAAAATTTTAATAAAAAACTACAGAAATATATATTTATTGCAAAAAACGGTGTGGATGAAAATAATTTTGAAAAAAGAAGATAATTTATTTAACAAGGAAAAAATTGGAAAAATATATTACTTCACTGTTAATTAATTCATCCTAATATCCCAAATACTTCAGTAAAAGTTTGCTGATCAATACCTGAAAACTTGTTGAAAGACCATATCTCATACAAATTTTGTAAGTTACTCATAAGTGTGTGTATGGTAATTGATAGTAATTTCAGAAAGAAATAACTAAATTTAATAATTAAAGATCACTAAAAAATATTCAATAATTACAAAATTTAATAATCCTGAACAAACACTTTGAGAATTATTAATAAATTATATGAAATTTTCTTTTATTAATTTGTGCACTAATATAAGAATATAAAAAAAAACTGTTTTTCTTTTCGTCCTATAAAATTACTTCTTGGAATTTAATAAGAGTTAAATATTCATGAAATCAGCATGATCTGCACCCGCATTCTTTCTTATCTGAATAAGATCTTTTTTCGTATTTTAATTATGCAGGATAGTCGAATTTAAGTCACACTAGACATCAAAATTTTAAAAGTTTCGCTAATAATTTAATACAATCTACTATGACCCCGAAACGTATAGGCTATAGGGTTATAAGATACAGTATTAATAAAGTATATACTTAACCGTATAAAACTGTTTACCGTTTATTTTATACGCTCACCGTAGGCAGAATATTGGCTCAATTAAAAAAAAAACGAAAATAAAATTTGACCTATCTACAATGCTACAATGCATACAATGTTAAAGGTAAAAAAAATTAAGGCCCGAAAAATGCTCCGAACTGAGCTACCTTATAAAAAATGGTTTCTAAAGTTGGGTTTGGGGTCCAGTAGATTCCTGGTTACGAGAAGGGTTAAATACTCATATACTAATACTCCAATTTATTATATCTAAAGTTCTTTAGAATGTTATAATAAATGCTTTAAAACATTACACAGAAACAATGAGAAAATTTTACTTACTTTATACTTTTCAAAGCCCTTCAGGTGCTCCTCGCTTAAATACTTATACGACAACATTTTGATAAAGTTCGGCTAGTCTCCAGTAGAAATTATAAAAAAAAAATTAGGAATGTCACAAACTTTGAAACTCTCTCATTAAAATTTTGAATTTGAAACCACTTTTTACTGTGAACGTCATTATATAGACGTTATTTTCACTTCTCACTCATATTGTAGAAATTTTCTTCACATTTTGTTTCTTGGATTATATTTATATTGTAGATACAATTGTTCTATCTGTAAAAAATGAAAATACATGTACATTATTTTAGAAAATAAGTAACAATGAAAACGTACATCAGCAAAACAGACCGAAACTTGCGTATCATGATATAAATTACAGTAATTCGTCCACGTGGTTTATAATAGAAGAGGGGTTCACAAACATTTGCTGGAGCTTTATATATATATATATATATATTAGTGATGTGCCGACTCGAAAAATTCCCGATTCGAATGATTCGAATCAGAAAAAAACCTGATTCGAATCATGATTCGAATCAACTCGAATCAAGTATATATATGGACAAAAAAATTCATGGATGTATTAATTTAGTAAAAGTGATCCAAATTTATAATCAAAATTGTCAGTTTAACCAATATAACCGACAAAGTAGAAATTGTAATCATAAATTACTATCAAAAAGTATATTTTGAAAATTATTAAAAATGATATAATTTTGAAGACGGCTGAAACATATCTTCAAATTAATTTACCATAATAGATTACCAAACAATTGTGCATCACTAAAGTATATAAAATAATATTTGGAATCATGGGTCGATTGTTTATTTTACTATGTAATCAGTAAAGGATCGCATCTAAACTGAGAGCTGAAAGTTAATTAATGTGAATTTGCCATTACTTACATAATTAGAAGTTAACATATTATTTACTGACTTTCTGGTGTTTAGTAATTGTTTCAAAAGAGAATTATATTGAAAGATTCCCGAAACTCGTTTCATAATTTCGAGTGGTTTATTCTGATAACATTTAAGATCTAAAACACTTACGTTAAAATTGGGTATTGATATTTCAAGAACAAAATCGCTCTCAGCTCTCCGTAAAATAAATAAACACGCAAGAACGACGACGCATTGTATCGCCCATACGGTTAACTCATATCGCTCGAACGGCTTGAAGTCGGGATGATTCGAATCAGAATTCGGAATAACTCATAACGCCGCTTGATTCGGTTTGACTCATATGAAGTCGGAACAACTCATAACGCCGCTTGATTCGGTTTGGCTCATGAAGTCGGAACAACTCACATCGCTGCTTGATTCGGTTTGTGTGATGAAGTCGGAACAACTCATATCGCCGCTTGATTCGGTTTGGCTCATGAAGTCGGAACAACTCACATCGCTGCTTGATTCGGTTTGTGTGATGAAGTCGGAACAACTCATATCGCCGCTTGATTCGAGTTGGCTCATATGAAGTCGGAACAACTCATATCGCCGCTTGATTCGGTTTGACTCATGAAGTCGGAATAACTCATATCGCCGCTTGATTCGGTTTGAGCCGTATGAAGTCGAATGATATAGTTAGTCGATGAATGCGATTATGGTCATATAAAGACGATTGGAGTCGGCCGATACATTTAAGCATATTAAAGTCGGGTGGCTCGCATGATTTAATTCATTATTTATTTTTTATATTTATGATATTTATTTTTTATATTATAATATTGAATTAAATTAAAACATTTTTTTTATATTTATATTTATGAAAATTTTTATATTTATGAAAAATTTGTGTTAATACATATTTTATCACAGTAAATATTTCGCGGCTTGATACGAGTTGATTCGAATCAAGTAAAATCTGATTCGAATCAAGTCATTAAAGGCTTGATTCGAATGATTCGAATCACTTGATTCGACTTGGCACATCACTAATATATATATATATATATATATATATATATATATATATATATATATATAGATATTAAAAAAAAATTGTTTGTCAGAGAATTTTTCAGCAAAGTATCTTATCTTGATCCCTAGAATCCGAAAATCATATGTGCCTAAGTGACCCTAAATCGACCCGGCCTATAGTTTTAGTGTAATTATTTTAAAATAATTATTTAAATTATGTGCATAGAAACCACGCAAGTTTAAATTTATATTCTTCAAGTTTAATCTGCTACTTTCAAGTTTTGATTAAAAAAATAGCTAAATGTGTTTTTGCATTTTATGATTCACTTCAACTGATATTCTAATTTCTAATTATGTTAGTTTTGTCTTATTTTCTCTAATTTTGTTAATTTATATTCTTAATTATTGCAACTGGGTTAAAACAAATATTTCAAAACTCGAAGTTTTGTTTTTGCTGAATCAAAATAATGAAGGAACCGTTCATTAATCACGTGAAGCTTGAAGGTGGAGGTGAGAGTGGACAAAAAATCAAAAATCAAAATGTGACGTGGGGGGAGGGTCTAGTAAGATATCACATGTAATGTTTACCTGAATTTAAAAAAATTCAAAATTGAAAAAAAATAAATAAAAATGTTTATGAATTTTTCGAGGTACTAAAAATACACTTGATTTTTAATGAGGGAGGAGGGTAATTTTGAATATAACGTTCAATAAATAATTCGTTATAAAGTTTTGTTTATGCTGAATATAAATCAAAATCATCAAGAGACTGTTCATTAATCACGTGAGGCTTGAAGGCGGAGGTAAGGGTGGACAAAATATCAAAAATCAAAATGTGACGTGGGGGGAGGGTCTAGTAAGATATCACATGCAATGTTTACCTGAATTTTAAAACAAATCAAAATTGAAAAAAATAGTCCTAAATTTTAAGAATTTTTCGAGGTACTAAAAATACACACGTGGTGTTTGGTAGAGGAGAGGGGTAATTTTAAATACCACAACATATATTCAAGAGGGAGGGGAGGGGTCAAAAATCCTTAAAAATCGATCACGTGATTAATGGATTAATACAATAAATATTGTATAACAAAACATTTTATAAAAACACTAAACATTGTAAAGCCTCAAAATGTATAATCAACAAATAAAATATTCCCATCCACAAACATTGACCCAAACATAAAATATAATTGTGAATCGGAAACAATTGTCTAGAAATTAATCTGAATTATTTTAAACCAACTTTATACAAGAACTAAATGTCAAGAGTAAAACATACGCATGCTAATCAATATTGCGGCAGTACATAAAATAGTTTTTTCTACATAAATAAATATATAAAATATTATTTGAAAATTGATTGAATATAATACAGCTAAATAAAATAATGTACCAATAATATAAAATATGTCTTACTAAAATTAAAGATTAAATAAATATATTAGTATCTTACATTATCTTGCTTTGTGTTATATATCCAAAATAATTTCACTACCACCTATCTTTGTTTTGACTAAATTATATTATTAATTCACGTGTCAATATATATATATTTTTATTAACTTTGTTTAATTTTTCACATAACCGATTCACCGGTATGGTTCGAACGGCAATTGAATGTTAGCACGGACGCGGCGCCGTACCATATGACAGATTGCCGCGTTATTGATTTTGGATTTCCAGCCTACGGCAGCGCTTCGAATTAAATCGGCGGATGGAAATAGAACTCCTGTCTGCAAACGAATCGAAACGTATTGTTTTTGTTTCCGTCTTACGTACTAAAATTCCGAAAATAGAATACTAAATAGAGCAAGCTATTTGTATTTAGTAAGCATATCAAATTGTCTATACATTAATAATAAACATTATAATTAATAGAACGGTAATATTATTTTCGTAGGGTAAGTTATTGTAATCGTCCAAAAGTCGAAATTTAAAATGTTTGCATTTCTCGACCTTTTAAAGGTTTCTAACATTTTGGCATACCTCATAATCAGAAAAAAATGGATGTGTGTGTGTGTATGTATGTATGGATACAATTTTTCGTCCACGTTTTCGGGCGCACGGATCAACCGATTTGATTGATTAAAAAAACATTCGATTCCTATTGATAGGGAGATATGCTGAATAGTTTTTGGCAAAGGCAGGTCCAGCCGTTACGGAGATAAAGAGCAGAAAATAGAAATCGAGTTTTTGTGAGAACGGAGCATCCGATTTGAATGATCTAAAAATATTCAATTAGTATACTAATACTAATACTAATATACTACTACAATAGTATACTAATACTATTACAATAGTATACTACTAATATACTACAACAATAGTATACTAATAATAATACTAGTACTAATACCATAAACTAATAACCACTTCTCCCAATCATTATAATTAGGGCTTACAATACCGGAATTCCGTAATCCCGAATACCGGAATCCCGGACGATTTTTGTCCGGTATTCAATACCGGTATTGATGCAAATAATACCGGTATTACGGTATTACTAGTATTCTATCAAAAATTCAACTTACGCAAAACACATATAAAGTTTTAGTTTCTAAACTATGTATTGTGTATTGCCGACGATCAGTTGAGTGTGACACATCGACAAGCAGTGTCGGCAAGATAAAGCGATTCATTCAAAAGGGTTCATTTACAAAAGTTATTATGCGTTCACGTGCCTCGTTCCTATATCGAATTCGCTATCAATGATTTTTAAACATAATAATTAAATCGATGAGATATAATTCTTTATTTATTATATATAAATCATTTTACATAAGTAAGAACGGCAGTTGTTTAAATTGCGTGTCGCTGACATCATATTGAGAATTTGCGAAGTGTATTGTTATGGCCCAACGCTTAATTAGTTAATATTAATAACTAATATAGTAGAAACACACTACGTAATGAATCATATTCTCAATTGTATTGCATTCAACATAAGAATAGTCAACATTGTAATAATCTTTTATCGATGAATTGCACACATCGCAGTAATTCCCGAGAAATCCGAACGGGTAATAACTTGACTTGCACTCACACATATAAAGAAATTCTATTGATCATATTCAAAAGCAAGGGAATTCCCTTAAACTAAATAAAATGTTACATAAAGCCGAAATGTAACTAAGTAGGCAGTTGTGTAAATTTCGTGTAGATAACATCTCAAAGTTGCGGGAAAATAAATGTTTATTATAAAGAATAGTGTGTTTATAATATTGTGTGAATATTGTGTTTAATTTGAACTTATGATATTTATAAGTGAGTATATAAACCAAAGTTTTAAGTTAGTGTGTAATTAAAAAATATTAAAATAAATACTTCACCCGTGTGTGTGTAAAAAAACTCCAAGTCTAGAACAAAAAATAAAAAATGAAATTACTTTTTGTGAAAAAACAGGAATAAAAGGAACGAACCTACAAAATATGTATAATTTCTTAATTACAATTGTACCAACAAGTGTAAAATCGAATAGAGCTTTTTCGGCGGCTGGTTATATTTGTAATAAAATTCGGTCCTCGCTTGATAATCAAACAATTGATTGTTTATGTTTCTTCAAAACATTAGCCATGAATTATAATTTATTCTTTTCTTAAATATATTCTTAAATAATAAATTCTTATTATAAATGTAGAATGTAAAATGTAACATAGAAAAATATATATTTTTACTGACACGTTTTTTGTTTCTATCTACTTCTACTCCTTATGTAATAAATCAATAATATGTACTCATTTCAGGACAATATTTGTTAGATTTCATATATTATTTGTTAATATGTCAATATAACAACTGAAGTAAGTAAAAATAACTATTTAATTTTTCATCGACAATACCGATATTAAAACCGGGATCCCGGAATTTCATTTTTCAAATATCGAATACCGGTATTCAGATTTTTGTACGGTATTGGAAGCCCTAATTATAATGATTATAATGATTGGGAGAAGTGGTTATTAGTTTATGGTAAAGGCAGACCCAGCCATTTCAAAGATACAGAGCTAAATGTGCAAAAATGGCAGTTTTTGAGAGAATTAAGCGTCCGATTGAAATGATTTAAAGAACTTTCTGCTTGTTTTAACAAAATAATTAATTTTGGAAAAAATATTTTTGTTTCAATTTTTTTTTTCAATGTTTGTATATCGAAAATAATTCAGATTTTATTTTTAATTCTGACTAAAGTTCCAATATACTTTAAACAAATAATTGCAACTTTGCAATTCAGTTTATATAATCCTTATGAATATTAGACAATGTTACAATATTTATGATAAGTAATCTATAAGTAATAATAAATAATCTATTTGAAAACATTCAATATTCCTCGAACATTTCGTTACGGTACGGGAAGTTCCAGCAATTTGCCTTAAGGCACGATGCCATACACCCCACTTAGTTTTATTCAGAATTTATTTGTTAACTTCCCGTAGGACGAGTTATAGTAATAACAAAAAAAATCGATAATGAAAAATTTTTCATATCGATGTTTTCAAGACATCTATTTTGGCATCCCTTGAAAAAAATGGATGTATATGTGTGTGTGTTTATAGTATGTATGTATGATCGGATACAAATTTTCGTCCACGATTTCGAGAGCGCGGATCAACCGATTTCAATAATCCAATTAACATTCGATTTCTATTGATGGGGGTAAACATAGCAAAGGCATGTGGGCCATTAATCACTTTATATTCGTTTCTATGAATTTTCTTTCCAAACTTGTGTTTCCATGCTTCCTGATTCTGTGCTTCAGCTTTCAGTTTTCTGTATTTCCTCTTCCCACGTAAGTCATCAACCGTCTGTAGGAACAATGACGTCGTGTAGGAGGCACTCTTTTTGCAGAATGGGTCCGATCCAGTTTCCTTTTCTTTTCAGGATCATGCTCAGTAAAGTCCTTTGTTCGCCACTTCTTTATTTGTTATCTTTTCAGTCCACTTTATTTACTCCATTCGCCCAGCACTACATTTCAAAACTCTCCTGATATTTCTTGTCTGCTTTTGTTAGAGTCCATGTCTCTAAGAACTATGCTCCAGACATAACACTTTATCAATCTCTTTTTTCTTCGTGAACGGCGCCTTGGGCCTTGCGATCCTTGTCCTGATCTCTCTCGTGCAGTATCTGTCTCTGATCAGAATGCTTCCTAAATATTTGAAATGATCAACGTCTTCCAATTCTCGATTTCCTACTGTTATCTTCAGAGTATCATCTCGTTTTGATACTCTCATCACTTTCGATTTCGATTTGTCTATGTCAAGTCCATACCATCATAGACAAGGAAAAATGAAGGCAAAATTTATTTTAAGTTTTTTGAGTATCAATATTTATATTAAAATTTAAACCAATGACCTCTCGTCATTTTCGACAGTATGGATCAACGGACTTCATAAATTATCAAGAAATTTTGAATTTTCCAAGATTTCTATAAAATTTCAATAAAACTTTAAAAAAATCGAAATTTTAAAGAAAACTAATAATACAAAAAAGTCGATTTTTTAGTAATAACGAAAAAACTTCAAAATTCTCCCTGAAATCTATTTTTTTTTTCAAATTATTATAGCTTTAAAAAATTATAAATTACTGTGCAGAAAGCTCCAGCAACTAGTTGTACATGGCATTTTGCTTAAAAGTTACAAAAACTTTCAGATGTGTGGAAATAATTGGCTTAATCAATAAGAATTGAAAATTAGAAACTTTTAAAATTCTGACGATAAAATTCTCAACGGTTTATTTTAAAAATAAAGATTTCACGTCCCTTTAAATAAATATGTAATGTAACTAATAAATATGTCGAGCAAACATAAAATAAACAAATTAGTTTTTAGCGAAAATATAAATTCCTTTGGGAAGTATATATATTATGAATGAACCTCACAGAATATTAATAAATAAAATATCAAAAGAATCATTTCAGTTGTTTAAAGCTTGCTCAAAGTATTACGCTTATTTTTGTATCTTTGTGCAAAACGCTAAATTACTTAAAGGCTCTCTGTAAATTTTCTAAATTTCTGAACAAAATTTGAAAATTGCCTCACACATAATTCTTTAAGTACCAATGTATGTGAATAAATTTAAAATATCTATTTTATATTATAGTTAGTTAAATATTTTAAATTTAACACAAGCTTTTAAATTGGTAGAAACAATTAACCACAGAGATGAAAATTTTTCGAATTACATATTCGTACAAAACCTTGAATTTAGTAAAAAAAAATATTTACACATTGTTAAAATCTCAATGAAAATGTTCAGTGTATAAATATATATGCTCAGTGCACTTCTGTTGTTATGCATCTCCAAAATACCCGCATCTGCCATTCTAAAATTCGGAGCTCTTTCACAATCAATGTAAATCGAATATTACATCATTTGCATCAATTATATTAATGTATGTTAAATCAAATACAATTTTAGACATATTTTCCGGAACAAGTATCAACCGATTTAATTGGTTTAAAAAGCGCTGAAAATCTTTGATGTATGTAAGGTCAGGTTTATTGGTTAAATTGTTATTTGCTCATTTCTAAATTACTGAATAGTTTTCTGCAATATGAGAATAATTTCATAATGTATTAATAATAGTTAAATTAAATACACGA